AGTACTACTACGACAATCGCATTACCTCGCGTCCAACTTTACTATCGTGGGTATAGTTTTTATTAAAACTACGGCGAAAAGTCGGCCCTATTTTCACGAGAACGGTTGTATTTCGGCGGAAAGGCGAGTTTCTCCCGCGAGTTTATTTTACTGGCGCGCGAGGCGTGAGTGCGGTTTCCGGCCGGGGGAATTTTTATATCCTCCCTCAGGTGGGGAAGAGGAGGGAGAGGGGAGGAGGGGATGAAATAAAGAGCCCTCGCTCAACTTATATCGACGCGTTGCGCTTTTATTCCGCTTCGCCCGCGGCTTTGGACACGCGAGCAACGTTTGGACAGAGGGGCAAAGAGATTCCGAGATGAATTTCCGCCGTTTAACACTCGTCGAGTGGCTCTCGCGCGGAGACTTGCGGCTTTTTTGTGAATTTTTACTTCGCTCCCCTATTCGACTCTTGATTCCTCTTTTCCCCTCGATTTTTTTTTTTCATTTTTTTTCCCCCTTTTTCGTTTCCTTTTTGACATTTTCGTAATATGTCGTTGTTGATGGCGGTTGCGAGTTATTTGTGCGATAATCGAACGCGTTTCGAGGGAGAGGAAAATGGAAGGTTATACGACATGTACGTAAGGTGTAAAGGTGGTTATGTACGTAGATGTGACGCAATTTAGACGTGGCTCTTTCATTCGTGGAATGGTGATCGAAGAATTGATATTTATAGTAGTTTTAATAAAGAAATTGTATCGTGGAGGTAGATGTTAATATTTTGGTACAATATTAAATTAATATCTTATATAAATGTAAAAGTTACATGTTCAACGTGAGATTTTTATTTTGTTTTCTTGGAAATAAAATCTTAAAAGATTTTCTTTTTTTTACATTATTTTTTGGAAAAGGAAAATTGAGATTAAATAATAGCTCATTTTCTATGACACTATATAATTTTAGTATCTTTTATTTTTCTAAATTCTAAATATATATGTAATTTAATATTGTACGATATTAAGAACGATGTTAAGAAAATTTATATATTGATCTTCATCCCACAAGAGAGAAATATTTACAAACTCGTTAAAAATCGAGTTAACACGTTTTTTCATTCGAAATATTCTTCTCCACTTCCAGAGGACTAAAAAGAAACTCCACTGATTCCAATTCGATTCAGTATGAACAGCGAATGTTATTAATTCTATCGAATTAGCGTTGCTAACGAAGTTAACCCGCTTCGATGCGAAGTCCGCGGAATTACCAAAGCCCGATTGAAATTAACCGAGTATCCAAATTCGATTTTTATTAAATCCAGTTCGTTCGATGTCGTGCCGATCTCACCGTGCAAACTAATTACTTCGGTGTTACGCGTTAAAGTTAACGGTTAATTACATCCTAGCTGTCAAACGACCACTCTGATCAATCGGAAATCGCAACCGAAAAAAAACTGCTCGATTACTATCGTTTTTTTCATTTAATAGTATTTTGTTGAACGGGACATATTGCATAACTGGACAGAAAATCTGGTGCAAATTCAATTTCTAAAAAAATAAATAAATAAAAAATGTAAATAATCATGAAAGAAATTTCTTCTATCCAGAAGAAATGCTTTGATCTCTTTAAGATCGTCCCATACACGCTCGATAGTCCCATGAATTTATTTAATCTGGTATCGAAGAAACAGTAATAAAAGTATCGTTGCGTAGAAACTAAATATTTTTATGTAGCGAAGATGATCCATGACATATTCCACGATTGATCGTTTCACGAGAGTTTAGCACAGGCAATATGAAAGTTTCGATATACTGCTCTTACTTCTTTTTTTTCTCTCTTCTTCTTCCACTTCTACTTCTTCTGTTCACTCGAATCTCGAAGAATACTTTCGCATCCATCCACCATGGAATAAGGTTAGGCTTCGTTCGTGCGTTTCTCGAATAAGTTAGAAATTTTCTATTCTTTTCTTTACCAAAATCTTTGAATTTTTTTAATTATTTAATTTCTTTTTTTTTCGTAGATATATATTGTATTTATAGAATATTAAAATTATTTAATAAATTTGTATAATAATTTTTTATCGCATAATAATAACAATTTGTCTTAATAATTTGATTTACTTTCTATAAAATTGTGATTAAGTTGTTAGGAAGTTGTAAGCTGTTGAAAGTAAAGTGAAAAGGACCAAAAAAATCTCGTTATGTTGCCTTTCTATTTCTTTTCCTCTATCGATAAACAAGCAAGTATTATAATTCATCTCAATCATATGAATCATCATGTATGATGTGTCCAATAAATATTGTCGTAAGTTGATTTATCTTCGAAATGAATTATTCAATCCATCGTCCACAGTAATAGCATTTCCTTAATGTATAAATGCATTTCGTTTGATTCCAGATTGCATTAGCGTTAGATTTAACGCTTTGCCTTCAAAAATCGATCATAATAAATCTTTTCTTTTTCGCATCTTTATAATTTTTATCTGTTATCTCGATGGATAAACGATCAATATTTAATTTATTCACTCGCATATAAGTTTTCTTGCACACGAATTTACACGAAATTCTTCAGCCACCATAATACGTGTCACGTTCACGTTATTGTCCTGCCGTTTCTTTCATTCATCATTACAAGTTTACTAATGATCTATGATGCAATGAATACATTTCAAGTAATAAATATGGCATAATTAATGATTTTATTATGCATTTCATTATCATATTTCAATGTTTCAAAAATTAATTTAGAATACAAAATTGATATTTATCAATTTAGCTCGACTCCTCAATTTTTTAAAATTCTCGATTAAAATTGCACATGTGTAATAAATTCGTAGTTGCACATTGTAATATATATTCTTAGACAAATCTTGTGAAAAGAACACGATAAAGCCACGTTTCAACGTAAATTTCTCCACTTCTGTTTTCTTTCTTTGAAATCGCTCTAGAACACGAGCCAAAATGTTTGAATATGTTTGTTCACCGGGCTAATAAACTTGCCGCGTGTGTATGAAGCGAGCCAATGATCATGAAGAACAGTTTTATTGGGAAAATTGACACCGGCCTCTGCTCGAAATACCTCGAATTCCTGTTTTCGCGTGACTACGTTGAAAAGCTACGAGAAATATTCGATGTAATCGGAGCATGGAATCGCATTGTTTTCGCTCGCTGACATTACGTATTCTATCGGTATTTTTACACGTTTTTTTTTTTTTTTTT